AATTATGAAAATGAAGATATATAACTCAAATTAAATATTCCCATTTTCCTGTGCAATTGCCGAATTGTTTTTTGAGACACTGATACTTAATTTGTATAAATGGAAAAAAACAGACAGTAAGGCGGTGGCATGTAAGAAGAAAATTTGAAGTGATTGATGAAGACAGCAATGGAGTCTGTCTGACAATATAGTTTTTTATTTTTTAAAATAAAAAAATTTATTTTGATAACATGTTTTTAAAAAGTATTTTAAAAAATAAAGAAACAAATATTGTTTTGAAAAATAAAAAATAAAAACATGTTTTAGGTGTTATGGGATTATTATTTTAAAGAATAAAAAAATTTTATTATTTTTTATTTTCAAACCATGTTTTACAAAACACCAGTTTTCAAAATAATAATAAAAAAAAGTTTCAAACAAGCTCCAAATTATTGAATGTGAACTTCTCCAAAGGAGACATTAAGGATCAGTAAAGAGTTTTAAGTTCATAATAAAAGCCACTGGAAAGGAAGGAGGTGCAAAGTGAAGCTCCTATTAATAGATCAGATTAAATTCTTACTAACTTTTTAAATGTGTCTTAATGATATGGATGGAGCAATAATGTGATATTTTAGATTCTATTTGAGAAAAAATGGTTCCCAATTTTACATGTCATTGATTATAAGTATACAGGAATCAAGAATTCAACTCCTTTTAATATTTTTTATATATATATATATATATATAAAAGAAAGAGTCACGAAAAGATTAAAAATGTTATGACGGTATAGACTTTTTTTGAAAATTTTATTAACATCATATATCGTCACACGGGTATCTCGACTAACACACGCCATTTTGCACGTCATTTGAATATATATATATATATATATATAGTTTTAAAACTGAACCTGCTTATCATTCCAACTAGATCATTGATTTAAAAAAAATTAAAAAAACCATAATTTGTTGTATATATTCAAAAATAGCCCAACTCATTTTTTTTTATACATTATATGAGATTCATTTAATCTATATGACTATATTTATATGTAATATAAAAATTCTGATAAGTTATACTATTCAATAATTATGATTAATGGAATTCATTTTCTAGAGATTCTGATCAGCCTTTGTTTTCTATAGAAGGCAGCAACTTGGGTTGGATACATTATTATGAGATATCTTCTTTTCCTGTTGATCCCCACGCTTGCTTCCAATTTACTCGCACGTTTATGTTTCCAAGCTTCCAAGCATGGGTAAAATGATACATATAAGACATACTTGCTTCCTTTTAAAAATATTTTTTCCCCCAACTTCAAACGTTGTCTATCAAAAACATGGGTAATTAATTTAAAAAAAACAATACATAATTCAAAAAAATAATAATGTGACAAAAAATGGATGGATGGAAGGAAGCATGGTCTCCCTCCATCCATTTTAAGGGAGAATGATTGAGAGATTCTAAAGGGATTAATTAATTTAAATTAGATCTCAAGTGCAAAACTCCATAAATTTTCAAGTTCGATTCTTAATTTTATAATTTATTATGATGAATTTGCAACTGTGTTACAAATTTTAATGGAAAAAATTAATTTATTTATTCTTCTACTATATTAAAATTTGAAAATCAAATTGTAAATTCATCATAATAAAGTTACAACATTGAAGAATGAATTTGCAAATTCTTGACATTTGATAATTGAGATCAAATTTAAATTAATTGATTCTTTTAAAACTTATCTGTCATTCTCTCAAAATGTAATAAATATCACTATTCATAGAACAGTGAAATAAACAGTATTAAAGGGCTCACCATTGCATTTTCTTTAAATTCAATTTTTTTCAAATTTTTTATAGTATTTTTATGCTTTGCTTATCTTTTTTCATTTGTTAAAAAAATCAAATCATGTAATTATTTTTTATTGTTTATATTACATTTTTATGATATCATACTAACATATTTTATATTTATATAGTTTTTAAATTATCTTTAAGTTTCTTTTAAAAAAAGTAATAAGTTTAGAAATGAAATAAGGTGTTCAAGTTTTTAGCATGGACAAAAGTTAAAAAAATTGTTAAAAAAAATAAGTTTCTTTTTTATTGTATATGCTCCAATTAAATGGAATCATATTTAAGGCACAATGACAAGAATTCGAATCTTATGTACTATATAAAGATCTACTCTATTGCTTTTCTTTTTTTGGATAAAGATACACATCCACTTGAAGTATAAAGACAACCAAACGGATAAAAAAAAAAAAGTGAGATGAGAAGGGATAGCATTGATGACGAGGATGATAATGGCGGCTCAGACCAATCAAGATGCGAACAAATTGTAGTTGGAGTTGTTATACAATAGCGATTAGTGGGAAATCAAACAGAATTTAAAATGTTTTAAATCAATCAATCCTGATTATATAATTTTTATGATAAATATCACTTACCTTTGGCTATTATTTTACAAGAATTAGTCTAAAAATTACACTGTACTCATCCGATTTTTTTTAAGTCATTTCAACCAATCTCATCAATACCAATACAAAAAAATATAAAGAATAAAAGTATATAAAATTTCAAACATGCCCCTATATAATAAATTTAAAAAGTGATATCATGTTACTCTTTTTCTCTCTCATAACGGGCAATATTAGAAATATCTTTTAAATATTACTTAAAAAGCTGCATTATGATATATAAATAAGATTAAATAGACTTTTTAAATTATGCTTTATAAATGAGACCGGAGAGAGTATAACAGTACATGCTAAATTTTGTATATATCACGTGACAGTGGACCTATATACAGAAAAACAATACTTTAAAAGTAGTACTTTTGAGGATTTGGTTTTAGTGATCTGTCTAGAATACATCTGAACAGTCAATTTATAAAATAATTTAAAAAATTTAATATTAAATTGAAGCATCCAAATTAAATTTATATTATTCAAAATTGATGATAATATTAATTTATTAAAAATTTATATTTTTTATTTTAATAAATATAAAATAAAAAGTTATAAATGTGGACCATCCAAATTTTTCATCTGAATGGTCCAAATACTCATCAAGTGATGAGCACCAAAATCGGACCATACTTTTAATCATGCTATTCCATTGGCTGTCACTTCAACAATAATGGGAATTAAATAATATTTGATAATTCAAGATATATGTATATATGTATGTGTGTGTATAAAGAGGAAGATGACAAATAAATCCTAATAAAATAAGAAAATTAAAAATAAATAAGTATCATAAAGTGGAGTGATTACTTTGAAATCTTTGAGGGCTAATTTAACATAATTTTTGCCAAATTACTTTTTTGACCCTTTGCAAAAAGCATGATTGTTAAAATATAAATTAAAGTTATTAATAATAAAAGTAAACATGTTAATCTAACAGAAGAAAGTAAAATTATTAATATAAGAAGCATAGTTGTTAGTTTAGTTATGTAATAACAAATACATTTTTTTTTATAGAAAAATGATAATAAATTCCTTCAAATTATGTAAATGACAAGTTAGTCTCTCAAAATGCCATAATACTAATAAAGTCTCTAGAAACCTCTTTGTCAATAAAAAAATTATTTTACCCTTGCTAAAAATAATAAGACCCAATCATCACTTTTGTTTAAGGAATCATAACTTTTATTTCGTAAATTGTAAGGATTGAATAAGAAATCACAACTTATCAAGTATAATATCTATTATTAAAAACAAGCTTCAATTACAACTGTTGTTTACGGAATAATAATTTTTATTTTGTGTATTGCAAAAGTTGAATAAAAAATTATAATTTATTAAGTGTAATTTCTATTATTGAAAAAAGTTCTTAAAATAACAAGCTCCATTCACAACTTTTATTTAAAAAATTACAACTTTTCTTGAAAGAATTGCAAGAATTGATTAAGAAATCACAATTTCTTAATAAGGGTAAAATGATCTTTTTCCTAAAAAAGTTATTGATAAAGAGGTTCCTAGAGACTTTATTAGTATTATCACATTTTGAGAGATAAAATTATAATTTATATAATTTAAAAAGATTTTATTAATATTTTTCCTTTTTTATATTAACAATTTTATCTTATTAATTAACAATTTCAATTTAGATATTAATAATACAGCTGATTATAAATTCAGTTCAGTCATGCAATAATAATTATACTTTATATATTAACAACTTTACTTTTGTTACTAAAAATTTTAGTTTAAGTCTTAACAATTCTACTTTCTATTATTTTGTAGGGAGTCAGCATAGCAAAAAAAATAAAATTATGACATTTTTTTGGGGACCAAATTACAATATATTAGTATCTACAGATATTATCCTTCTCTGTTTTTTTTACTATTTTATTATTTTTATATTTTAAAGGGATTTATTTATCATTTTTTCTATATAAAAACCAACGTTGTTTATATATAATCTCCATAATTAGAATACTTGATGTCAACACCTAACATTGCATAATAAGTATTTTACACCCGACACTTGCTTTTGCATCATTCCCACTAGTTCTCATGAATAGGCGTCAATATTTTAATACAAGTGATCAAATATACACATAAACTAATTAATATATCTACATCATCAATGAATCATTGATATAAAATATGAAGGGAGAATGATTATTGAGAAGCCTCCTAGAGGAATATTAATGTAAAATAAAGACTTTTAATTTATAAATATCTAAATTTGAGTTGAAAATCCTGAAATTTCAGTTATATAAAATCCTTGATATTTTTCAAGAGTCTTTATTTATCATTCTCCCAGATATTAAAATCAATAATATATTTTATACTCTTACATAGCTGCACAACTTATTTTTTTATATCAAAATCCCAATAAACTGTACTGTTAATGAATAATTATGAATAATGCAATTCATTTTGGCAGAGACTCCGATGAGTCTTCTAATAAAAGTTTTAAATTTGAACGGTTTAAATTAAAATGAGCACCACAATGAACAACAAAGATAGACCTGATCACCCATGGTTAATTTCTATAAAAGGCAGAAAGCATGCATTTTGCTTCCATATTGATCTCTTGGGTTGGATAGATTATTGAAAGATATCTTGTATCCCATCACTCATCAATCAGAGAAGGAATGGGTCTGACAGGCAAACTTGAGATTGAGAAAGAGATCCAGACACAAGCTTCAAAGTTCTTCCACCTCTTCACAAAGCAACTTCACCATGTCCCTAACATCACAGATCATATCCATGAAGGTGAGCTTCATGAAGGAGAAGACTGGCACAACGTTGGATCTGTTAAGAAATGGTCTTACACTATTGGTAAGCCTTCCATTCAATTCCAAGTGCTTCATATATCATAATTATAATCGTATTCTCCTACTTTCATATATGTGTCTTTACCTACGAGAACGATTTGATTTCATTGAAGCTTATTGGATGATAAATATGGTGATATGGAATTACACACACACGCAGCTTTTTGATGGTCTCAGTGCTATTATTATTTATTTAAAATTCCAATAATATATATAGATTTATCTCCTTTGAATTTTGTTTACATAAGCTTATTGGAGGATCTACGTAGTACACTCTGGATTTTTAGGAGATTTGTGTAGCTTTTGCAAATAAAAAGGAGATATATGTAATTTTAGTAAAACTCAGGAAAAATCTACATATTTAACTTTCCTTTTTTAAAAGAGAGAGATTATATGTAGAGGCGTTTGGGGGGGTGTGGGGAAGACACATCGGTACAATACTCTATATGCACTCTTCAAAAATGTTATACTCGGTACAATAATTAAAAAACTTCCTCAACAATATGATCCATCGGGTTCTTGCATGATTAACTAGGTTTTTTTTAACAAACTTTGCCAACCTTTGATCAGGTTAATTTCTAATATATAATCCTAGTTTAGGTTAAGAATTCCCTGTACAATACCTAGCTAGTTTATTGATTTTTATATTGACCTGTGTTATGAGTCCTACATCAGGAAACTTTATAAATAAAATGAGGTTTATAAATATAAAAAGCATTCCCTCTTAACAGGCCAATCTTTTAAAATATATTCTTCTTTTGAACTTATGCTCGTAACAACTTGTTAGTCCATTCTTCGAGGGCTTTGATGACACTGATATGTATTGTGTGAACTTGTTGTTGGCAAAGATGGGAAGGTAGTAAAATGCAGGGAGAGAATTGAAGTGTACGATGAAGTAAACAACATGATAACATTCAACCTGTTTGAAGGAGACGTGATGGAGCAATACAAGAGCTTCAAGCTGACTCTCAAAGTGTCTGATAAAGTTGGAGGAGCTGGTGGTGGTGCCATTGCCAAGTGGACTGTTGATTATGAGAAGCTCAATGAGGGAATCCCAGATCCTGGAGGCTACTTGGACTATGTCACTAACGTCACCAAAGATGCCGATGCTCATCTTCTCACTGCATAGTCAATTATTCATAAATAAATAATATTATTAAGTGCATGTGCATGGGCACTACTGAATAACTAGTTTAATTTGTGTGTTGTTTAATGATTAATCGATATGCATTATCTCGTGTGTATCAGAAGTACTATGAGTGCTTGTATGATGTATTTGATGGCTCGTCTGGTCGAATATATGTTCTATATGTTGTTGAATGTGAAATTGTTGAGACTGAAACAAAAATTCAAGTGAATAATTGTTGTTGATGTGTTATTTTGACTTATTTAATATTATACCATTGTTCTTATTGAATTTAATTAAAAGCTTATTTGTATTAATAATTGCAGGACTAAAGTTTGCAAAATGAAAGTTAGGTAAAAGTCAATTGCTATAATGTGATTTATATTTGGATACTATTTTGTAAAAAAAAAAAAATAATTTAACAAATTGAAGTTTTTTTAGATGATATAATTAAAAACAAGGTTTAGATATACAATGATTGAAAAGGATATGATATTTATGTTATAAACACACATTATAAGAGAAGCTGTTTTAATGCTCATTGGCTTGATAAACACCCTGCACTCTTTAGGCTGATGAGATATAGACCGTCTAGGATTTAAGGTTTTATTTTTTATTTTTATTTATTATTTTAATAAAAATAAAATAAATCTTTAAACCTGGATTAGCTATATTAAAATTTGGATGGTCTATATCTCATCAGCCCTAAAAAGTGGTTCTCATTAAAAGTATGAAATTTGATAAATTTAAGAAAAATATTAAATTATAATTATAAAATTAAAAAAGAGTTAATATATTATTGTAAAAAGTATTTGTAATTATTAAGTAAACTTAATTATAACTATTTAAAGAATGTGTGTGTGTGTATAAATCACAAGTAATGATTATGATGATGATGATGTCAAATTCCAAAAGTAAAGAGAAGGATAGATGGGTTATTAAATAATTTTTAAAATACATTAATGCTGCAAACAATTAGATTCCACTGTAACTATTGTAAATTAAAGCTTCAAAATTTAGCTCTCTTTTTTTTTACCTAAAATATTTTTACAATCGACAACTGTGACATTAATCTTTCAAAGAATTTGAGTGTCATTCAAAATGTTGCCTCCTTTTAAGTGATGTTTTTTTTACACACATTCAAGAATTGAATATTGAAATTAAAAATTTAGCTTTAGACCTAGCTATAGTTAAGAAAGGAAAACCCATTTACCAATTACTCTTACCCAAAAAATTTTTAGGCCTACAAACTACTATTTGAACTAACTAAATAAGAATTCAAACACGCACTAACTGGACCGATGATTCAATCAGTGATTTTTAAGTTGTGCAACTGTTTGTGAAATCAACATTTGGTCTTACGATGGGTCAGATCAAGTTGTTATGCAGGCCGAATGTAAATTCAGTTATTCTAAAAGATTTGGATCAACTTGTAGAATATAATATGGACTCATCTAAACTGAAGTCACTTGTATTTGCCCAAATATACGTGGCCTCTCTAGGGGCCTTAGGTCTTTTAGATACCATAAATGTTTCTCTATTTTAGTTAGTGATATCTTCCCATCAAATAAAAAGGATATGAAATTATTAATTAAAATAAATAAATTAGCTTTTTTTTAGGGACAAATTTATTAAAAGCCATTAGTTCATTATAAACAAAGACCCATTCCTAAAGTAGAATGGGCCACAAAAAACAAACAACAACAAAGGAAATATAAAAACAAAAATAAAAGAAGGGCCTAAAGGCATATCAAAGTTGCTATCTAATCGAAGAAACTCATTGCCGCCATCTTGATGTCATGGAGGGCTAGAATCTAACAATACAACAACTGCATGAACAAGTAACTAGCTTTGTCTCTATATGATTTAGTGCCAAAATGGCACAGATCTAGATTAAAAAACCAAACATTCTTGATAAATAGCCACAAAGGCCAACAAGTAGCAGCAATATGCTAGAATTTCATAAGAACCAACATCTTCAATATCAGGAGAGCAATAAGTAAGCTGTTCTGGGCAACCAACAAACGCCACCAAAAGCTGCGAAAACAAAGTAAACAAACAAGAGAAACAGAGTAGCCTATAGGAAAGAAAAAGCAGCATCCATAGCACACTGCCCATTTCAAGTGCTTCCTCTATTTTATTGTTTTTAAATAAAAAATATAATTTCAAGCGAACATTTTCCATCGCACATAGGCATTTATTTATTTATTTTTTTATCAAAAGGTATTTAGTTTTTCTAAGATTATTAACACAATTCAACCTTTTTTTTGGACAAGGAAACACATAATTGGACATACATGCTAGATATTCACTCATATAATAAGAAAAATGAACCATATTAAATCTTTCTATTTACAAGGATCATTCTACGTACAGTCAGGACAAATAAATTATAAAATTAACAATGAAAATAATAAACATGGATATGGTAATTTAAATGTTTAAAGATTATTTTGGTTAATAAAGAACTCATAATTTTTATTCCCTTGTTTCTCTATATAAAGTATTTTTTAAAAATTTATTTCGTCCCTAAACATAAGGGATGTCATGGTGATATTTTTGTGTGATTAGGCAATTTTGACATTGTCTTAAAAAATGGAGAAGATATTATTTGTACATTTTATTCACTATCATCATAATATTAATTATGATATTATTAGGGGTAGAACTGAAAAATCATTATAATTTTATATAATTTTAATTAAATAAAAAATTTTCATTAATATATTAAATGCAATTAAAATTAAAAATATCTGATATATAAGAACCGGTTGATTAACTATCTTAATTATGATATTTTAAGGTGTGGGAGTCAAGCAGTGGGATCCGTTAATTGTTCTTGACTTCCTGTTAGCCCAATCTACCTGGCCGTGGCAGAAGATGCATTAAAATTATGTGTGTTACGTTTGATACCGAATTATTGTTATTACTGCCGCCAAACTGTTGACCACGTGCTCACCAACATGTCTTCCTCCTTTTTTATTAGTTTCTATTCTTAAAAATATTACTCCCCATATCTCAATTTATATTATACTTTTAAATAAAAATATAAAATTTTAAAAATATTCTTGATTTAATATTTTGTTTATAAAAGAGTATTAAAGAAAGATAATATAATGTATTAAAAAAATTATCATTAATGAGATATTATTTTTATTAAAGTGTCCTATTAAAATTTCAAATCTTTTTAAAAGTATTTTATAATTTGAGAGAGAGATAATATATATTTTTTTTTAAAAATTACTTTTATTTAATTATAATTACAACGTTTTGTAATGAAAACGAATGTGGATGGAAGCCGATGTGATGTTCTTCTTTTTGCATACAATGAACGTGGAGGATTCTTGAACCCACAACATAATTCTCGATTCTCCATCACCAAACCTCAGGAAAGAAAAATTTCGCAGCCAGCTAGCAAACTTGTCCAATGGGAGCCACTGTATGTGGACGTTTTGATATATCATCGAAACCGAAGGCATTATATAATTCATTTGGGAATAATTAGCCCACTTAATCACTACCATATTGGATAAGTTATAAAGTATTTATATTATTATACGGATCGAGTTCGGCGGATTGAATTGCATCAAGCTAACTATGAGGTCAAAATTATAAAAATTACTCCTTTTATTAAAAAATATAAAATATTTTTAATCAAATTTTATCTTTCAATAAAATTGTTATCTACTTCCTAATTAACCTTATTTTTTCATATCTTATCTCTATTAAACACTCTATAATTAATATAAAGTCATTACCAATAGGGACATTTTTTAAAAAAACTAATGATTATACCTCGAAAGACTAAAAATGTCTTATATTTTTGAATATTCTATTCCTCAAAAAATACCTTATATTTTGAATAAAGGAGTACATTATTAACATTTTTTCATTTCATTTCTATATTTCTCACTGTTTAAACAACAATAACGCACAACAATCATTATCATTATGGGATAAAATATTGGCTTATAAATTATGTGCGGTTTTTTTGTTTATATTAATATTTTGAAATATTTTAAAATTATATTACCACATGATAAATTGAGAATATTGAAGCTTGCATTCATAAATGTATTCAGATATTTTAAAAATTAAAGTAATGACATATTGGAGTGAATGAATTTTATTTTTTGTATATATAATATCTGCACTATTTTTATATAATTTTTCAATTTTGAACTACTTATTATATATATATATATATATTTTAATTTATAAAATTTTATATTTAATATTTCTAATATATATATTTGTATAACAAAAATTGACAATAATTAAAAATTAATATCCTTTTTGGTAACTATACATCTAAAAGAACATTTAATTATATATATATATCTAACTAATTTTTAGTTTAATAAATTAATTTTTTAAAAATATATTCAAATATAATTTTATTATAATAATTGATTTATTAAACTAATTTTTTGTCAAATGAACTTTTGACTAAGGAAAAAAAACCAAGCACGCACTAAGCATAACAATAATGTGTACATCAAATTTGTCTTTTGCATCTCCCTTTAACCTAATTTCCTGCATTTTTGTGTTCTTTGTTTTTTTCCCCCCGCTTGGCCAAACTAATCTGGTAAGTGTAGTCCGATTAATTAATTAAATGATTTGAAAAAACAACGCCGTTGGTCGGCATCACCTCACCTCCACATAACAACGGGACCCAAACAGAAATAATTCACAAAAATTATTTGATCCTGATAATGCATTGAGGGCCCCATATACCTGATAGCATCCCTCTAATTTGGAGAAAATATATGTGATTAATATAATTTTAGAGAAAATCATAACCCAAATAAGCAAATAAGGATACATTTTATTTGTAATATTTTAGCTTGAATTTAAACCTACTAATTACTAAACCTAAACCCCAAATCGTTTTTATGAAATAATATCCTTATTTGCTTTATTGAGAAAATAACAAATAAACCCCCTTAAAATAGACAAATGACAAAATAATTAATATCACGAAATGATTTAATTACTCTGAAATTTCTACGGACTTAGCTTGTCTATCATTTTTTTTTGGCAAAATAGAAAGCATAGTTGTTAAAAACATAAACTAAAGTTGTTAATAACAAAAGTAAAGTTACTAATATAGGAAAAGTTGTATAAATAAATAGAAGCTCACTGTATTGTTAATACTTAAATTAAAGTTGTTAGTCAATAAACTGAAGTTGCTAAAATAGAAAATGTACTTGTCATTGCACTACTAAATTAAACAACTTTTTTTTTAATAT